ACGGGTTCACATGCGTGCGGTGCAAAGTACACCGGGACAGCCGAGATGTAACGGTCTAAAAGTTGTTTCGTCTTACCGTCGGCAAGAGCGACCGTCGTCGGATGTGACTTCCTCCGTACTTGTGCGCCAAGGCCAGCCCGAGTCATGAAGGACTGGCTGATGAAGTTGCGAGTTGCGCCGCAATCTAGCAAAGCGTTGCAGGCCGCTTGCCCAATCTGAATGCGAACGTAGAGCAATGGTGCATTGTTTTCTTCGTACCGTTGCGAGACAAACTCGTGGGTCACCTTGGCAACATAGCCAAGCATGTCCCCCACTGCGACTTCGTCTACCATCGGCGAAGTTGGTGGTGCATGGAAGGAAAGATACTCGTGTAAGAGGGCGCATAGTGCTGCGCTTTGCGGCCTCGGGCGTGAGCGGGTCCAAGACCTCCTCGTTGAACGCGCTTGCCGAATCCCTTGATGAAGACGAAGTGGCGGAGTAACCTCCGGACGATGAGAAAGCCACACATGTATCTTGTCCTTGAGAAGCATCCAGTGAAGGAACGAGCCGGGCAGCGAAGTCTTCGAACGAAAGTAGAAGACTCCCGACATCCGCGTATGCCTCGGAAGACAGGGCGGTCGTGCGCACAACCGCTTCCGATGGCGTCGAGGGAGGTGTCGAGTCACCCTCGGCGGCGCCTACTTTCCCGAACGGGGTTTCCCCTTGGTGGGGCAATGTGCAGCATTGTGGATGGTGCTATTGCACCAAAGGCAGTAACGGTACTTGAGTCTCGTGCAATAAGAGTTCGCCGAGAGTCCGTATTGTGCCCAAGGTTCGTCGGTTGCTGATCCGGTGCTCAGTGTAGAGGTGGACCGAGTCTTCGTCTTGTCGTGGCCGTGGTTGTTGCGCGGCCGGCCACCATCCCGGGCAGCTGCCAACACTTCACCCTCATTTGGTGTTGCAGCCTCGGTAGAAGTAATGCAAGCCACCTTTGGCTTGGGCTGGGTGCCGCTCGTCGTCGCGGAAGATCGGCCGGCGTTGCGGGCTTCGATATTCGTGAGAATGATCCGTGACGCTGTGCTGAAAAGCTTGTCGGATATGTCGAGTGTCTCTGCAATCTGCGTCAGCGCATTTTGCAGAGCTGGACACGAGCGCATGATAAACAAGTGCTTATTGGCGCGGAAAGCAAGCGGCAGGTCAGGTGTGGAGGTGAGTCTTTGGAACTCGGTAATCTAGTCCTGACTGAGCAGCGTGTTCTGATGGAGCTTGTTGAGCCTGTCCATCGCTTGCAGGTCGGGCGGCTCCACTTGGAATCGCTTGTGCCAGGCGTCAGTCAACTCCTGCCAAGTGAGCTTGGTGTGCATTTCCGACACTGCTACGCCGTGGCTGGTCAAGATGTTGTCCAACCATGCTTGACACGCACCACTAGATCGGTGGTACAAGCACGGATGTCGATCCTTGTTCGGGACATGGTGCATGTCGAGCCTGAGAGTAAACTGGCGCCACCACGGGATCGGTTCYGTCTTGGACTGATCGCAGAAAACTGGAATGTCATCCAGTTTGAATGGGCGCCGGGAGGATGCGGCGGCGGGCGTTACGGTGGCAGCAGCCTGGACCTGCGTCTCCAACTGCAAGTTCGTTGCTTGCTGCGACGTCCGAAACTCCTGATGCACACGCTTGATGTTGCTGACCTCATCCTCCAAAACGTGCACACGGGTGGTAAGGTTGGAAGGCCCTGCGACTGCTACAGCAGCTGGCTGTTTCTCCAACGCCTGCAGCAGTGCGAGCATCTGGTCCACTGTCTGCTGCAGGTGAAGGATTTCCTCCTGCTGCAGAGCGCAGGTGGCCACGAGGTCGTGGGAGACCTGCGCAAGGGCTGACAACCCTTTCTCAGTCTCCGGGGCCCCGTCTGCAGATGCCACTTCCACCCAATGTGCGACCTCATCGCCGATCACGGTCTCCCGCGTGAACAGTCGTTCCCGCTGGCGTGACCAGTGTTCGGCTGCCGCCTGCAGGTCTGCCTCCTCTTGACGAAGTCGGTCCTGTTCCTCCTTCTGTCGCTTGGCCTCCTCCTCTTGTTCAAGCCGATTACGTTTCTTGGCCGCGGCGGCGGCCCTATCGTTGGCCTCCTGAATGAATGCCGCCATGCGTTCCTCATAGGCCAGGAGGGATTTTCCCGCCTTCCGGTCCAGGGCCTTGGTCTGTGATCGAGTGAGCAATGTCATGCACTGCTGTGCCCGAAGTCTGAAGAGTCACCCGAGGGCCAATCTGACGGACTGGCCCAGTACCCGGACTGGAGGGGGAGGAACAGGTAGGCAGCAAACAGGTGGGAAGGATCGGACAGATCCCAAGTTGAACAGTTCCGTAATCAAAAGAAAAATAATATATATATATATATATATTTGATTAAGAAATAAATCAAAATTCGAAAAAAAAAAGACTGTCCAATCCCACTGAGTGCCGAAGGTGATGCAGAACGCAATTGTGAACCTTCGGTGCTGAAACTGCAGAGAAACAGAAAAGAAGTATCTTTACAGCTTAGAGTAGGAGTAGGTTGCAGAAAGGGAAAAAAATGCCGTTTTTTTTTTTTTTTTTTGAAGAAAAAAAAGAACGGAATTTGCAGACCTACGCAGTGAAAGTGTAGAGGGATATTTTCGAAAAAAAAGAATCGCGAAATTACCAAAATGCAGACATTTAACAATTAAACAAGGTAAAAAAAAATTCGGAAAAAGAATTCTCAGAACGAAAAAAAATTCTCGGAAACCAAATTTCGCGGAAAAATAATTTTTCGGAAAAGAATAATAATTTCTCGAAAGAATTTTCTCGGAAAAAAGAAATAACTTCTCGAAAAAAAAAAACATTCTCGAAAAAAGAAATAATTTCTCGAAAAAAAAATTCTCGGAAAAAGAAATAATTTCTTGGGAAAAACAAATAATTAAATAATTAATTCCGGGAAATTTCCAAGAATAAATAAACAATTGCCAAATAATCAATCAACCTAATCAATCAATCAATCAATCAATCAATCAATCAATCAATCAACCAGTCAATCTTAGATGATTGCTGGTTGATTGATCGATTATTCGATCAATCTCCTGATTGACTGATCAATCAATCGAAGATTGATTGGTGGCAAACCGCCAATCCAATCAATCAATCGATTGATTGGTTGTTGCCAAGATTCATCGCACTAGCTCCGATACCACTTGTAGCATATCAGAAAGTGAAATGCACTGAGAGCCTAGGATCTAGCAATGACGAAAGTGGCAACAACCAGCAGCATAGATGCAACATTCACAAGGTGCCAATGTGCACAATGCAACGAGTGAACCAACGAGAAATCAACAACAACAACACATTCGTATCATCATCATCATCATCATGGGCTGGGGAGCAGCGCAGCGGAATATTTAGCAATCAAAGACACGTGGACAAACAAACATGGACGAGATAAACTTCGGAAGGGCAAGACATCAGAAAGATTGCCCTTCCGCTCACACACATGGGGAGAGAACCATAGACATGCGAGATAGAGAGGGGAGAGACATAGGTAACCAAGTCCAACCCAAGTCTGATCTCCGAATGTCGTACACAGCCCAATTCCAATGTAGAGTGTAAGTCCGATCTGAATGTCGTGTCCAATAACGCAGAAGGCCGTGTCCAAACAATGTCTGCAGTTACCTCTATCTCTACTCTGATAAAGAAGAAGAAGAAGAAGAAGAAGAAGAAGAACTTCGGAGGAGTAGGAGGAGAAGAGGAGAGGAGAAGAAGAAGAAGAAGAAGAAGAAGAAGAAGAAGAAGAAGAAAGTTAGGCGCTTTCTGCACTTACCTGGCGATGGCTGAACTTGCAGGTACCGCGGAGCCAGCGATGGCGCTGGTACAAGTAAGTCCTCTTCTCTCTCTCTCTCTCTCTCTCTCTCTCTCTCTCTCTCTCTCTCTCTCTCTCTCTCTCTCTCTCTCTCTCTCGCTCTCGCTCTCGCTCTAACTCCACTACACTCCTCGGCACTGGACTCCTCCTGCGCTGTGCCTCATTGGCGATGAGCAGCGCAACTGCAGTCTCGAAATAGCGCAGCAGGGAGTCTCCAAAATAGCGCAGCAGCGAAGTTCGTGAACCAACATAACGCTGGATTTCTCCTGGTACCTTCTGTTTCGAACTGGGCAACGGCCCAGCTTATGTAGCGCTGGGCCAGGACTGAAAACCCACGGCCTGCGTTCTGGGCCGTGCAGATCGAAATCCGATCCACGGTCYAGATCGCAGGCTTTGAAACTGGTTCAGTCCYTGGCCTAAAACGGCCTGCCTGGKTCCCTACCGGACGTCCAGGCMCTGTCCAGGATTCAGTTTYCTGGTACCTGGCTTCGAACCGGTCCTGTGCGGACGTACCCGGCCTCAACGTCGGCCAGGGTCCGAACAGGTAGCAATCTGTTCGAAAACAAAAGAAAAGGTCCAAACGTTTTTAGGAGCTCAGCCTCTGGGCCTGAATCTGGCCCTGGTCCTAAAAACGTGTACTTGGCCACAAAACGGACAACAGTACAACCGTTAGAAAAACAGCAGCAAATAAATAAAATAAAGACTATAAAAATAATCTAAAGCTGGCGTTTTTCTGATGCAGGCCCAAGTAAAAATGCCATAGGGCCTTAAGGTTGTGGTGACGCGACCTGGGGGCCCTATTCCAACCTCGGGTCCCGTGAGGGACCCGTGTGTAGGCTTTCAGCATGTAACAGTCAGGGTTATGGTGAAGAACTGGTTCGCAAGGAAGTTGAAACCGCCCGCCTGCAGCACTTCGATTTCCGTGGGTCCTCGCGGCCACCCCCGAACAGGCCACTGTTTCTCGTGAGTTTCTACGTGTGTGTCCAACCACATCCCGAGCTTGACTTGCCCTCATGCACACGACCGGGTTTGCGAGCTCTCGCCACAAGGCACTTCGCATGCACCGTGTGGCAAATGCATACAAAAATGGAAAAAAAAATGAACTTCATTGCTCGCAAGCACTTGCAGTTTTCAAGTTCGTTTCGTCACATTTGCACAGCCATGTGGCGAGGCCTGTAGCCCCTTCAGCAATGCTTTGTTCTTCATTGCTCTCCATACACATGGTCATCCTGATTGTTTCTACGCAGGCTTCCGTTAGTTGCAGCCCTCTTTGACACCAGTTTGCAAACTTCAGACTCCTGCCCTTGATTTTCGCAACTTGTCCTCACACCAACCATTCCTCCTTGAATTTCTTCTCTCTTCTGAGGATTGAATTCCCTGTCCATTTTCTGTGTTATCCCCTTTCCCATGCGACTCTTTCCCCTGGTTCCATGGTTTCCATGGTTGGACCACACTACTCGTTGAATAGGAACCAGAGTAGGACCTGTTTTTTGCTTTTTCTGGGTTTGGCTGGACTCTTATGACACGGAGTACCAGCGTGCGTAGGGAGTTTTCAACCTGCGCACACGTTTTTTCGTTTTTCGAGTGCTCTGCCACATTCGGAGGATAGGAGTAGTCTCTTAGGAACCAGAGTGGGTTGTTCTGTAAGTTTCTTTGCTTGGATTCTCACCAAGACTCGATCCTAGGACCTGTTTTCTCTGTTCTTCTGTTTTTCTGCTTTTTCGGTAGCTCTGGTACGTACGAAGGGGAGCTACGAGACGTGACCGGATACCGGGTTGCTTTGTAGACTGGAGAGACAGTAGACCTGACCCTGATTTCTGGGAAATAAATACGAAGCGGAATAGAGTATTACTCCTCTGACAGGTTGAACGTAACTCACCGTGCGCTATCAATGACGGCGTTACGAGGTTACGGGAGTGGGTGCAGCGGAAAGATTGGTTAGTTTTGGGATGATGAAAGGTGGAAACCCCCTGATGAGACAGCGGCGGCTGTCGAAACGCGTCGGGGACGCGATTACCTGTTGTCGGTTACCATTCTCAATACGCTTTGTTACGCTTTGCTCAATGTCAACTGTGTTATGACTTCGTGTGATGACATGCTGACGTGTTAACCATGTTGGTGAAATGCTGACGTGGACTGTGGGTTTGAATCCTTGCAATAACCTGCTATTGCGCGTGTGAACACTCCTGGAGTCGTATACCGGGAGGGGTGAGCACGTTATCGTCAGTGAACGACCGGGACATTTGTTATGAATCTGTTATCTGAAGAGCTGATACCGTGTACAAGTTAGTGCGGCTTTACGGACTCGATCTGGGAGTTGCGGCCACGGTGCTACTGACACTGACACGTGGTGCTGTTCGGGAAGACAGCCTTTCGACGATGTCAAGCGATCAACGTGATACCCATGGGCAGGGGAGCAGTGGCGAGAGGAGGACAAGAAGGGACTTCATTACCTGCTTCGCATGTGGTGAAGAGGGGCACTATGCCAATCAGTGCCGGAATCCGAAGCCTGGCTGGAGAGGAGCAAGGACATCAACTTCATCGGATTCTAGGAGACGTCGATCATACTCTCCCCGGAAGCATTATAGGGGATCAAGCTCGGAGGATAGGGAAGTGCAATCGCAGAGTCGACCTGTGGAGTCGACCTGTGCCAACAAACAGCGCATGGTAGTCACAGACTACCTCAAAGACATTGAGTGTCGTTTCTTGTACGCAGGAGGGGAACTGAGACATCGATTCTCGTTCCCAGTCAGCGATGATCTCCCAATGGATATCTTGTTGGGTATGTACTATCTTTCCGTTGCACAGCCCCAGTTTGACTGGGACCGAAAAGTGGTCAAACACACTTTGCCCTGAGGGGGGACCGCCAGATTACGTAAGTTTAAAGCTAGTAGTCGGATTGAGTCCTACGGATGCATGTGTGCGGCCGCGTTTTATAATTATTATAACGAAAATCCGGAGGAGGGTATGTACTTAGCTTACGTCTCTGCAGAGGGTGAGCCGGTGCAAGTACCTCCAGGGATAGAGGGAGTGGTCGCTAGATACCCTGATCTATTTGAAGAGCCAAAAGGGGTTGTTGAGAGGGAGGTCGTCCATGCGATAGAGATTATCCCAGGGTCTAGCATTCCAAAAAGTAGGATCTATCGGATGTCTCCAGCGGAGATTGATGAGCTTCGCTGGCAACTCAAGGATCTCATAGAGAAGGGTTGGATCTGGCTGAGTGTTTCCCTTACGGATCTCTTGTCCTATTTGTACCAAATAAGGGGGAAACTGCCTCAATGCCATCACGGTGAAGAGCGCAGAGCCCCTACCGCACATCGATGAGTTGCTGGACTGAGTGCAAGGGTGTCGGTACTTCAGTAAGATAGATCTGAAGTCTGGGTACCATCAGACTGCAATCCGTCCCGAGGATCAACACAAAACCGCTTTTCAAACCAGGTACGGTCAGTACAAGCTTGTGGTGATGCCTTTTGGCCTTTGCAATGCTCCTGGCACCTTTCAACACGCCATGAACCGGATCTTTCATGACTACTTGGACAAGTTTGTCATCGTGTACCTCGACGGCATACTTATCTTTAGTAGGATTGTCGAGGAGCATGTTGGTCATCTAGACAAAGTCCTTAGTCTCCTTCGACAGCACCAGTTCAAGATTAACCGGGAGAAGTGCGAGTTTGGCCGCACCCGAATCTTGTATTTGGGTCATGATATTTCTGCAGAGGGATTGAAGCCCGATGACACAAAGGTGGCCAGCATTCGTGATTGGCCGCGTCCTCAGTCTGTGATTGAGATGAGGTCCTTCTTAGGAATGACCAACTACTACCGTAATTTTGTTAAGAACTATAGCATAGTGGCCGCACCTTTGACAAACTTGACACGCCTTGACATCCCGTGGGAGTGGACAGACAAGTGTGAGGCTGCTTGCATACATCTGAAGCACGCCTTGACACACCATGAGGTCTTAAAATTTCCTAATTGTTACGGACTCCGCCAGGACTCGACCCCTGGTCTATTTTGTTGTTGTTTTTGCTACATCTCGTTTTTGGCCTGGCACCCCTTTTCCAAACCCCTCCTTTGGTACCGTCGGATTTTGGACAATTGGCGCCATGCTACAATTCGGGGGCCACTTTCAAATACCGCATTTTTTAGTTCTGCCCTCGGGGCTTTTGCAGAGATGCCCCTGGTACCGTACGTGTCACCGACACTTATACCGGTTCCCCGTACAGTACGGGGAACCAGTCTCGTACCAGTTTCAGCTGCTGTACCCGTACTCGGTGGGACTTGCTCATGTTTTCGGCATTCGGAATCCAAGACTTCGACTTTGTGTCCTTGCCACTGTGTTTGCGTCCGCCCTTCAGTCGTGTCGAGTGAGTGAGTGTGTGTGTGTGCTCTCACTCTCTCCCTCTCTTCCCCCTCTCCCTCGGCTCTCCCTATCTCCCTCAGCCTCGCGCTCGTTACACTGGTATCGGAGCGGTTCGAACCCGCCCGACCCATCCTGCTTCGTCGCCGTGCCACATCATCATCGTCATTGTCATCGTCATCGCCATGCCACGTCATCATCGTCGATAAACGTCGTCGCCGTACCACGTCATCATCGTCATCGTCGAAATCGTCATCGTCACGCCACGTCATTGTCGTCGCCGTGCTCGTCGTCCTCGTCAATGCGCCACACCATCCTCGTCGTCGCCGTCGCTGGTCCACGACGCAGATAAGTAATCGACGACAATTTTATTTTTTTATTATTTTCTTCTTCTTCTTCTTCCAATATCTTTTTCTTCTTCTTTCTCTTCGTTCTTTCCTTCTTCTTCTTCTTCTTCTTCTTCTTCTTCTTCTTCTTGTCATGACCCCAATCCCGCTCCCCCCTCGACTCCGATCCTCCTCCTGTATAACCTTCCCCCACCTCAATCGTTCCCCCCTCCCCCCCCACTTCGCGCTACCCTGACCCCGACTCGGATCCCGCTCCCGCTCCC